CAGTCTTATTCAACCCCCTTCAAATAAAGTGTTACCAAGAAATTCTTAAGAAGCTCTGTTTGCAGTTTGTCACAAGACGTGGAGGGGAAACAGCAGACATGAGGAGGAAGGCCCTGTGGTTACGAGAAACCAAAATGTAGCATTTTGGTCTGCATGCAAAACGCTATAAACCAACACTGAGGTTAGTGCCACACACAGTGGTGGTGACATCATGCTGAGGTGATGATCATTTCAGCACAATTAGGAAAACCTGACAATTGTTGATTCGAATAAGGATTTCCCCAAATAAACTGTAATTCTTGAAGAAGAAAAAAAAATGCCTGAAAATATTTGAGATTGGGTTGGAGGGTCACCTTCAAGCAGGACGGTTATTCTAAACACCGAGTTGCAATTACATGCCTTAGATCCAAGTAGATTCATGTGTTAAAATGACCCAGTCAAAGTCCAGAAAGCCAACTAAAAAACATGTGGCAAGACTTAAACTTTAATATTAACAGACTCTGAGCATAAAGCCAAAATTACAAGAATTAAGTCATAATATAAAGAGAATAAAGTCATACGAGAATACAGTCAAAATAATATAGCTGCAGTTTACAAGAATGTCATAATATTATGACCTTATTGTCATAATTTTATAACTTTATTCTGACATTATTATGACTTTATTCTCATACTAGGGCTTTATTCTAGTATGACTTTATTCTCTTAATATTAGGACTTTATTCTGGTATAATTATGACCCTATTCTCGTGTCATTTCAACTTTATTCATGTGTATTTTATTCTCTTAATTTGATGACTTTATTCTTATAATTTTATTTATTTATTTTACTCTTAGTATGGCCCTATTACTACTCTCTTGTAACTTTCTACATGGCAGATAATAGAATATTTTCACAAAAATCCAGATTTTTCCATAGCCATTCCTTACTACCACCTTTATTTTTCTTCTGACCATCTATTATATCACATGGATGGAGAGCAGAAACTCCTAAGCCTTCCTGCTAATTGACTTTACATATATCAGGCAGTCCACGTATTGGTCGGTGTCTCAACTGAGACTAATGTGTTTGCCCTCCAGTGGGCCGGAGCAGCCCTCAAGTCCTGAGTCATATTTTAAATGGCCGGCACAGTCGAGGGAAAGGCTTACTGTGAAGGAGGAACGGTGGGAGACGACAGTGGAAGAGATTATTTCAATGGATTTCTAATTCTGGGAGCCAAATTAGCGGGTGCTGAAGCAGGAGACGTGGCGAGCGGGGTGGGAGGAGGAGAGGGAGGGGTCGGTACAGATGGACTATTTACAGAGACCAGCGGTGCCACTGGCACACTCTGCGTCTCCTCTGCCAGCTGCCCCGGTTTCTCTGCTTGCAGCGGGGAGCACAGAATAGAAGAGATGAGGACTGGATACTGCTACACATGCAGATGAGGTTTACTGCACTTCACCTAACGGATGGTGGTATAAACTAGCAGTGGTAGTGATAGTGCAATGCATTTGGTGGCGTTTTAACCCCAGTTAAGTTTCTTTGTTTTCAGTTTCTCATTTATCTGTTGCCTTTTCTGCGGCCAGTACAGTCGTCTGCTGTATTGACCAGAACCCTCATGTAAAATATAAACACCAAAATAATCCCATTAAACTCAGGGAATTTGGTTAATATAAAAATGTTAAGTGGAAGGAGAGGATATATGGATATATACTTTTTTTTTTTTTTGTAAAAAAAAAAAAAAAACTTTAAAGTGTTCACTACAGTCTCCTACGGCACATCCAGAGACTAAAATGTTTGCCAGTTCTTCTGCTTAAAATAGCTCAGGCTTGGCCACATTAGACGGAGAGCATCTATGAACAAAAATTTTCAAGTCTTGCGACAGATTGTCAGTTGAATTTCGGACTGAACTTGGACTAGGTCATTTTGACAGAATATCCTTTTATCTACAGGGTATCAAACTCCAGTCCTCCAGGGTTGAAGACAACATATCCTTCAAGTGTTTTCAATGCATCCAAAACAAATGGCAAGCTTTAACTCCTCAGCATGCAGTGAATGTGTTCAGTCCTTCTGAACACATTTGATTAAAGTGTGACGATGCATCTAACTTTGCAGGACAGGAGTTTGACGCCTGAAATTTAAACATTTTAATGCAGCTCTGGGTGGATGTTCCTTTTTAAGACACTACACAAATAGTCCGCCACAGTACAAAGTAGGTACATTGTTTGAAATCTATTGTTTTTCTCATCAGGATAGAAAAATGACTGCAGAGACGACTATCAGCAGCAAATCCCATTGATTTGTCATGGCTTAGGGCTTCAATTCAGACACTAATGCTGGGAATGTTGTCAAAACTAATTGATATATTTTGATTTACCATAAAATTAAAAAAAAAAACATGGAGTCAGATAATTTTAGCTTTTCTGCGCAACGATCTTTAGAACTCTGCAGAACTAGAGTGCCGTTATAATACACTGCAGGAAAACCCATAGAAAATAAAAGACAAGTCACAGTCTAGCATTCCCGGAGCCTGGAACCTAACAACAATGAAGAAGAATGGAAATATTTTTAGAGAGAACTATACATCAGAAATTGAGTTCCAAGATATATGTATTTGATATATGTTGTTTAAGAAAAAAAATGAGGTTAGCTTTTCAGACCCTTTAACTGTAAGTTTGGTGCTGAAGCCTTTTTTTGGACCATTAGCAGTCATGTTACCCACTGAGTTAAAAAACAGTAGTAGCTATATTTGCCCCTTTATAATGCACAACAAACATACAGAAAGCCTGAACACACATGTGCAAAGCTGTGGTATTTTCTCAGCAACTGCATGTGGAACAACTTGTGTAATCATTACGCAAAGATCTGCTTTCCAAACTTCTCCTTAAACCAAAACGCCATGGCAACAGGAGCCAAAAAGCCACAGATATAGCTGTGGGGTGAAGTCAAACTTTCCTCTGCGACTCTCATGCAAACCAAACAGCCTCAAGTGTAGCTCCTCCAAGAAGGACCAGGTTTCATTTGGAGGAGTTATTTGCAATTGCTGTTAACAAAACAGGATTCAGTAGACAAAAAAGTAGAAGATTGGAGTGTTTAATAATGCAGAACCATGTGCTGACATAGGGAATTTAAAAGCTTTTTCTTTACACCATTCTTTTTTAAAACAATACAATTTGGAGTTGTAGCTTGTGTTGATGCCAGGGATTTTGTTTTTTTTACAACTGGCCAGCAGAAATGTTATAGTTTTTCCAAAAGACATAAAATAAGAAGCAGGTCTTAAGGTAATTTGGTCAAAGTTCATCAACAAGGGGATTTTTCCAATACCCTGCATGGAAGGACTGGAGTATAATAATGCAATTAAGAAAGTGAGGTGTGCTTTTAAGAGAATCTGTACTGTGGGACCCCAGTTCCATCAGAAATAATTAAATTAACCTACCTTTCCACTAATGTTGCACTGCAGGGCATTTTCATTTGGTTTTTTTTTTGTTTTTTTTTGGTCTGCGGTGAACTTTCTAAATTTGAAAAGAGACAAATGGCTTCTCAACAAGAGACAAATAAGGACACCGGGCATGTGTCACAGCTACTTAAAGCATACAGAACTCATATTATGTATGATTGTTGTGTAGAGATTTATCTTTATAATAATGCTTTACTATCATAAATAATAATTGATAAGTGAAATGATACTGAAATCAAAAATGTAAAATAATCACTCACATGCACCTATACTTTCTGTCATATAAAAACATAAATGAAGACTACAGTTGTGATTTGCAAGTAAACTCGTATAAATTATAAATTACCAGATGCCTATGCAACGTTGGAGAAGTGTGCAGCATTTCTTACAAGCAATAAAAATGTCAGTGTAATATAAAGTTCCACAGATTCTACTCTTATCCTCAAGTTTTAAAACTAATACAAATGCAGCATCTGTTGATTCACCAATCCTTTTTTTTCCCCCTAACGCCTGCACAATGACTCCAAGCTACAGGTCAAATACAGTTTTTGACCACAGAAAGGTCCAGCTGGCACTGGAAGACCTTTACAGAAAAAATAAAAACGTTAGCTTGGAGACAGTGTGTGGAATTTTTTTTCATTGACTTTCAAATTGCCTCACACCTCCTATGAGCACCTTCCAGATTTTTATGCTTCACATTTTCTGAGTAGTCTTATTTCTTATTTCTTACATCTGTAACATAATTGTTAATTGACATCTTATTACAACATTTTTCATAATCAAGACTTAGTGTTGTGTAAGTAATCGATGCATGAAGGCATGACTTTTTCATTTGGCCTTAGCTAATCATTAATGAGTGTTTTATAGTTTTTTTTTTTTTTTTTTAGAAATGCAACGTGGCTGACTTTCTGAGTAGAGCATTTGTTGATAAAAGCTTTTATTGGAGATGAATGAATCAGTTTTTTGATACTGGCCATTACTTCTGGTTTCTTCTTTCCGTGTACCACAAAAGAAAAAAAAGTGGAAGAATTACGGGATTTTCCTAATTTATGCCTCAAAGAATACAGATTTTTTTTTTTTAAATGATGTTGGCTGATGTGTGAACAGGTTGAACATGTTGGGATCCACATTTAATGCATTCAATGAAATGACAAAAAGAGTCAGATTTTTCAGCGTCGAAATGCAGAGCAACATTCAGAGCTGACTGATGTCTGATCTCGGGCTAATTGACTGGTGCAGAAACGCAGTTTGGATTGGTAAGAGTCCGGTTTGTGTGCTGGATGGGAGTTTCATGTCATATGAATCCCAGCCCTCCCTCCCTCCTTGCATCCAGGGAAGAAGCGCCAGGACAGAGGAGGCCTGGGGCCATCAGTCTGGGTCACCTCATCCATGGGAGTCACACTCTAATTCATCTGTCAGAGCCGACACGAGAGCAACATGCACACACATGCATGCACATGTCCGCTGTCACACATACGCACGAAGCGGGATGGAGGTGACGGTAACTTACTTTAGCGGCTTTCAGAAGGATCTCTCTCTCCTGCTCGTCCTTCCTCTGCTTCTCGATCCTCTCCAGCTGCTCGAAGAAGCGGAGCTGCGACCGAACGTCTGCAGACTGCTCGTAGCACTCGTCGTCCTGGCAAGCAGACGGAGAGATTACAGCAGCGGCAGCATTACGACAGCGACATATTGAGAAGCTACTTCTTTGGCTCTGGTTGGATTATTAGTCAACTTTAGAACAGATGACAGGAGCCGATAAAAAATATCTCTGAATCGGAGGAAAAACTCCTCCAGAATATAACCGAACGTCACAGAAATATTTTGGTAGGCATTACTGAAGTACTGTCACCTTTTGAAGATGAAGATTTAATCGTCCAACTGGCTTTCTGTGTTTTGTCATAACTTGTATCACTGCGCATGTAAAAAAAGAAAAATCCACTTCCGATGCAAAAACTTGAGAAATTACTCAAAATGACGAACCTTAAAGCTTGATCAAACACGACATTAAAAAAATATTCACTTTGATGTGAAAGTTAGAAAGTAATTTTATTACTTTTACATTTTTTATTGTCACCTAATGAGCACATTGACATGAGACAAGCAAGTCATATCCTAGATGTGACTTCTGCAAAGTCACTGACTCGATGCAGTCACCTGGATTTTCTTAGGAAAATTTTTAATAATTTATAAAATACACTGAACATGACTGCATTGTTTAATAGCTTGGATCAAATTGGAACATATGTAAAGAACTTTGAATCTTTCTGTATGATTGGGCTGAATTGATTGACATAGAAAATCTGGAGAAAAATAGTCTAGATCAGCAGTGAAGAAAAGGAGGATAGAATTGTGGATTTAGACGTGTAAGAATGAGAAATATTGCAAAACTTTTGGACTTGATCCAATAAATCTGAGGTTTTCCAACTACTGATGTGTTTTCCTGCTTTGACTCGTTCAGTTGAGGCCGAGATCTCCTTCAAGCCGACAACCATGTGGGGAAAAAAGTTTATTCATGAGTGACAAAGAATACAATTATTGCTCCTTTCTGAAGCTTTCATTTAAAAAAAAAAACTTTCTAATGAAACTTTTACCACTATTTTTATCACTATATATTTTTATCACTATATATATATATATATATATATATATATATATATATATATATATATATATATATATAGATATATTTTTTTTTCTGCAAAAAAAAAAACACTAATAAATCTCGACAAATGTGGTTTATTCTGAATTTAACTATATAATTAGATTTTTGGTTGTTGAAGAGTAGAATTCAAATAAATAAAAACAGAATGTGGGTAAAAATAAAACAAATTGTATGGGTTTAGTTAACTCACTGTGGACAGCTGGGACCATTTTTAAAACTTTGTTCCTGTGTTATAACTGACTGGGTGTCTGTAACTTTTATCTGTGTTAATGTTCTTTAGTCCGCATTCAGTTTTATTTTGACTTTCTTTAGTCTTATCTAAAAGAAGCTACTTGTTAAATCTTGAAAAGTATTGTTGATCAGCAAAACTTTCTTGTGAAATTAGAGCCACTTCGAGCTAGAAATAAAATATTACACAATTATAGATTTAATTTTGGGCTAAGCTATAAGTAAATCTAACATAACTAATCTCATCATTACTGGTTGTTGTAGAGCTTGAGCTCATCTATAGATCAGATCATGACTTTTGAATATGAAGTTGAAGAAACCCTGTTTTACAGCCAAAAGCCACATTTATATTGTATAATTAAATCTTTGGTATCAATTCATAAATAGAAGAGAAAACCTCTGAACACATTTAGTTTAACAACAGCAACAAACATATAACTTAACTCAAACCCAACCGGTCTGCACGCATCCCCACACTTTGCCACACAAACTTCTTCTATTTACAGACTCTTCGCTTCATCTCCCATGTGGCAAATAGGAAGGCAAACGTAAAAACAACTTTTTTAGGTCATCAAAAGTTAATAGGATAATTGCTTATTTCTCCCTGTGTGACTGCACGTCTCTGATGCAGCTCTTATCTCGTGTTGCGCTTTATTTCTATGTCACTCTCTCGTCTTCCGCCTATATGTGAGTGTGTGTGTGTATGCGTGTGCGTGTGTGTTTCCATAAGGGGATGAGAGGAGCTGAGTGGCACAGAACACAAAGACACATCAGAGGGGGCTTTTCACCAGCGCCCCCCACCTCCACCCCACTCTTCTGCCTCTCTCATCCAGCCTCGCTGCTCTTTGTTGCAGAGCTGAGCCTGCACTCTTGCCGTAGCTCCTGCTGAAGCCCGGCTGCTCTTTAAGAGGCCGCTTTGTCTTTTGGTCTTTCTCCGTCGCTCTCTCTCTCTTTCTTTTTTTCGCTGATGTCAACAGAGTGGCTTCACAGAGCTCCGTGCCTGTCTCTCGAGCACACCTCATTTGGAAAACCACAAAAAAGAAGAAGAACGAATGGAGAGGAGCGGCGCAAAAACAAGAAGGGGACAACTGTGCCAATGCTTTCCCTCCCGCTGCCTCGGCATCAAGAAAAACATGTTTTCAAAGTTTTTCCCCCAGTTCTTCTCACAATGCAAAGACATTACCTTGTTGTGGAGATGGATTTTGCTTTAATGTAGACCAATTAAATGTTGTTATATGGCTACATTCATCAGATGTGAGGGGCACAGTCACCCCTAATGAGAAAAGCATGCAGGTGTTCGTAGGCGAGCACTTTTCTTAGGTTTTAAGTGACTGAGTAAAAACTTACAGCTCTCTCTTGGTAACAACTTGAGGGCATTTAAGATGCTCTTGCTAAATTTTATGATTGCATTAGTTATAAACTCAAATTATTTTTGTGATGTGTGGATATGGCCATTTATAGCAAAGGAAAATGCTGCAAAAACTCAGTGAAGTTTCTTTCTCGGTTGTATGTAAAACCAAACCGGAATTTATTCTGAATATTTTCTTCTGCTAATGTGGGTCAGAAGCTGCAAACACTTTGCGCCGTTGGACTTTTTCACATTTTGTTGCAACCAAACAAATTAAAACCTTGAATTTTATGTAACAGACCAAAACAAAGTAGGACATAATTGGAAAGCAAAAGAAAAATCAAACATGACTTCCATACTTATCTCATGAAAGAGGGAGATTGACAAATAAGAACTGACTTTAATCTCAGAATTATTTTTTTTTATTTTTTTTTGCAAAGAAAAAGCCAGAATTCTGAGTAAAAAAGTTTGAATTTTGAGGAAAAAAAAAAATCAGAATTAAAACTTTTTTCTGAAGTTTTGAGGAAAAGATGGATACTGCACCTGCAAGCATAGATAAATTAAATTTAAAATGATTATTATTCAAACTTAATACCTCCAGGAATGAGGAACATTAACTTAGGTTAACTTTACAGCTTCATTAACTGCAATGCCTCCCTCACCATCCTCAACAATATCTACTGTTTCTCACACACTGTATAGAAGATTATCACCACTTCATTGTTTATGATTAAATTGTTCTGAGGGCTTTTTAATTTTAATCCACTGCAGTTTTATGTCTGCTTTACTTGTTCTGATGCAACAACTGTTTTTAAATGTGCTTTAAAAATATATTTGATTTCACTTTGGCAAATTGTAAATGGGACTTACTATGGTTTTCTTTTAAAAATGGCTCAATTCTCAGCACGCTCGTTTTAGTGCACAACTAATAGCTGTCAAGTTAATACTTTCTCCCAAGTGAGCTTTGGCTCTCTGCAGCTCCTCCAGAGTAATCGAGGGCATACCGAATTGCTTCTTTAATAAAAAAGAAAAACACTAGTTGCTTATAAGGTTTATAGAGAAGTAAGTTGGTTGCACTGAAATTTATGAAGGAATATCATAATAAAAGGAGCTGAATACAAATGCACGCCACACTTTTCAGATTTTTCTTTTTTTAAAGAAACAGCAAAAGAAGCATATTATTTTCCCTCCTACTTCACAATTATGTACTTTTAAGTAATGTCAGATAAAATCCCAATAAGACACACTGGGTTTTGTGACTGTATAGTTAAAGCTGCAACTAAACTTTGTCGAGACATTTACCTTGCAGGAGTCGATTCGATGCTGTGCGATGATAGAAACCTTTTCTAACACAGTTCGGAGTCGAGACTGTGCAGCGTGTGAGATGAATGTCACGGCTTCCATGGGAACCTCCGTCACTCCAAACTTCTTAGCTGTGAAGGACATTTAAATATGGTATATATATACTATATAACACTTCAAACAAACACAAAAGACCCACAACATAAACACGTCCATATCTATTGCGTAGCATCCACACACGAGGAGAACTGTGCAGATTATCGAGGGCAATTAACTTGCAGATAGAGGACTCATCACATGGAAAAGTAAATTTCTTTCGCAGTCTTAGTGTGAATTCCAGAGTGGTTTTACTAACTGAGCTTCTTCCAGTGTGGAACCGACATCTTTCTGCAGAAGGATAATTTAGTTTCCTTGGAGCAAAATTCATCTGAAGACATAACAAAAGAGAGGAGGACAGACTTTGGTAGGGTTAGTATCTGTTTCCAACCTCCTTTTAAATTATTCCATTAACATAATTTTCTCTCTGGCACCCTTTTAAGTAAACCACACCAATTATTTAAGTCAGCCGAACAATACATACACTCTTCAACTGCTCAAGCTTTGAACAGATGGAGGAAGCCCTCTTGCTATTATAATTGCAGTGGCAACGCATGCGGCAATACCATGAGGTCACAGGAAAACTGCTAACAGGCTTCCACTCCCTAAAAGTACAATCTTTCTGGGACATTAATATTTCAGAAAAGGTTTAGGAGATTCAGCTACAGAATGAGAGGAAAATTTCTGTGAGCAAAAACAGTTTCTGGAGCTCACACTAATTATAACACTTCATCTAGAAATAGAACAGACTAATGATAAACAAAGCCTTAGTGCTTTGGGTTTTACTCCAACTAGAGGAACTGGAAAGATGTTGGAAATATTATGCACCAAAGTAATTAGAAATACAGGATTGCAGTTTTCTTGGGCAACTCCAATTTCTAACCTACCGATCACAAATGTTAAAACTGGAGTCATACATTAACAAAACATAATTAATCAATAATAGATGGGGCACAAGGCTTTGCTGCACAATGTGCATGTTAGTTTGATAACTAGAAAATTTCTGCAGAAATTTAAACGGGGCCTGCCACAGTGTGCCCGTCGGTGGGAACCCAGTTTTCTTACGCTAAAAATTTGCATCAATGCTAAAGTAAGCTACAATTTACTTAATAGCATGTGGAGATTGACAAGTACGTTGAGTAACATGGACTTACTCTATTCAGTATGTTAAAATGAGTATATAAGCTAAAATAAGCCAAAATACTGTTAGCCTAAACGCTGCCAGTGCCATGTGAGGTATCACTAGCATGTTGTCTTACATTGACTTCCTCCAATCAGTGTGCTAAACATGACTAATGTTCAATGTTACACATGTTTGGCACACTAGCGGGGGGCTAATGTTAAGAAACTGCCTTCTGATTCGAAAAGTCAGATGTTTACTTCATTGCACTTACTAGAAAACACACTCATCTCTTAGCAACAGATTAACAACAAATATTGTTATTGTTAAAAAGACATAAGATTTCTTCTGCTCTTGTGAAATACAACTTATCTTAAGCCGTTTTCGCACTGCAAGGTCGGCCCTACTTTGCACCCGTGCCGTGCCGTTCCGTTCCTTGCAGTGGGAAAACGGCTTTATACTACTTAATATGAATTGTGCAGTTGGTGAATTTTGCAGTAAAGTGGAAATGTTTTTTTTTATGTCATTGATGGTGAATGTATTATAAAACAGATATTCAACACAAAAGTAAAAATCTGATTTATACTTCGTGACAGATCGTTAACAAAAAAATTTATCTCTTAACACCAAATTAATGACAAGTAATATTATTGTTTATAAAACATAAGCTCTTTTGAAATACTGCTTACCTGTTTAGACACAAGAAATTTAGAGTTGGTAAATTTTGCAAAAGTAAAAATCTGATGTTTACTTTGTGGCACTTAGTTACCAGAAAACATGTTCATCGCTTAGCAACAGATTTACAACAAAATGTTGTTATTGCTCAAAAAACATAAGATTTCTTCTGATTTTTGAAATACTACTTATCTTATACTACTTAACAAGAATAGTGCAGTTGTTGAATTTTGCAGAAAAGTGAAAATGTTTTTTTTTTTTCCATTGGTGGTAAATTTATTATAAAACAAACATTCAACACAAAAGTAAATATCTTATTTATACTTTGTGGCACTTTGTTACCAGAAAATGTGCTCATCTCTTAGCAACAGATTAACAACAAATACTGTTATTGTTCAAAAAAAATTATTAACAGGGTCTGCCAAAGTGTGCCCGTCAGTTGAACCCAAATCAGGTGTTCTGATGCTAAAAATTAGAAACAATGCTAAGATTAGGTAACCTGTACTCAACAGTACGTGGAGAATTATAACCATGTTGACTAACATGCACTTAGTCCATTCAGTATGCTAAAATTAAAAGTGTTTTAGCCAAAATGCTTATGTAAGCCTAAATGCTGTCATTGTCATGTGGGGTATCACTTGCATGTTGTCTTACTTTGACTTGCTCCATTCAGTGTGCTAAACATAATCAATAAAAAAAATAGCTAAAATTGTTATTATAGGGAAAAGGCTAAAGCTAGTGCTTGCTCCGCAAGGCAGTGCGCTAGTGGGTGGCAGTGGCTAATATTTTTCCTAAAGTTAATGCAATGTCATGCTCCGCGGGTTAGTGCAACCTAACCTGCGGTTAGTTAGTGCACTGCGAGACACTAACTATAATAAAGGGTCATTCTATTGACTGTTTGCTGCTCCATCACATTAAACCTCAATAAAGTACATTAAGCTTTGTGACTGTAATGAGAGAAAACTTTAAGAGATATAAAAAGCTTAATGTTCTACTTTAATATTGAAAACAAACTCGAATTGATATGTTGTGGATCTGAAAGTGAGTTAAAAATCACTTCCTACAGAACTACATGCTCTAAAGGGCATGTACCAACACTCTTTTAGAGAAACAAGTCATCAAATTAATGTATTTGACTTCTCATGTAGTAGAAGAACTTGTTTACACCATATTTTCAGAAAACATTTTTCAAGCACCCCTACGTGTGCTCAGAGACCTGTAAGGCAGAAGAGGACTATCGTTACTTTGAGGAGTTTTTTCTAGAGAACCCCAGCTGTGATCTGGGTCCCTCCTCCCCATGTGGCTGGACAAGCCTGGAGAGCAATGAGGGGAGGTAGAGAGAAGTTTGATAAAAGACGACTAGCATAAGCGTTTGTTTGCTAGGGATAAATGAAAGAGCGGAGAGCAAACGGAAAAACACACTACAAATGTTATGGACATGGATGCAAGACTGAATACTTCACCTCTGCCAAATTAAAAAAATATGGAATCCGGATATTTATGCTGAAAAATGTTTTTTTATGGAGTAAGGAAAGAATCATAATGAAGTTTTAGTAGGATGGTAATATGATAAACCAGGGTTGTACAATAGAGTGGAGCAGCGGCTCTTCTCTGATTGAGTAGAGCTGGCAGGCTGGGGGAGCCTCCCTTGGACTGCTGTCAGCTGTGAGCGCACAGAGACCAATCACTGACACAACAAAGCTGCATAAGTGCCACTTCCCCAGCAGGGGGCACCCTAGCCTCCTGCCCCGTACCATGCTGTGTGCTACCCCGAGGAAAGATTTATATTTTAAAACAACCCCTCTACCCCAAGGTGACGGGATAACAACCATGCCAAGAGTTACACGTAACGAAACATGACCTGCAGGCCCCCATGCTACACTAAAGATACTTTAATTGAGATGAAACAAGATGAGGGCGCCAGGCTCCCCGTCTTGTGGAATTACGTTGTGTGTTTTTTGATCCGTTGCTCAGGAGAAATATGCTAGGCAAAGTTTCATTTGGAGTAGGAACACCCTATATAACTTTTTACACATTTTAGTGTGCATTCTAAGAATATTTAACGGCTTAATATGTTTTAGAGTTAGAAGTATTGAAAGTATTATGCCTAAACCGGTAGCGTAAATCATCTTTTCCAACATTTTATTTTAAAAAGCGCAAATTTTCTTTCATACTGTCCTTTTTCTGACACAAAGAATTTGGTACAACGCTCAAGCTGTAAGCCATCATAGATGATGACACTGTACGTTACCAAACCTTCTTGACACCCATCACGGTGTAACACTATAAACAGGAAACTGATTGAGTGCTATTACCAGGAATATATTCAATGGAGGTGAAGCATAGAAAAATAATGCAGCAAAGATCATCTGGGTAAGGAAGCAAACAGGTGAAGAGGGCTGACTTCTGATTATCCCCTAAATATATATCTCGGTTGGAAATACTTTTTGCCTCAGAACTATGAAACAATTGATGTATATGTCTGAATTCATTAGCCAGAAATCTGGGTAGCTGTAGGTTCAGGTTTGGAATCGATTCTATTCATCTAATCTATTTTTCCTGTAGGACAGTTTAAAAAACCTTAATAAATACAACTGAATATCATCAACATAAAGATGATAGGAATATATCACCTTTATGTTGATGATATTTTGTTTCATTGGTTATTTTAGTGCAGTGTACACAATAAACTGTCTTTTGTGATGAGATGACTATCTAGCTATGTCACAGTTAAACTCAGAAAACACCAAACCTCTTACTATTGCCCGTGAGCACCACCAATCTGCCAGAAGGACCTGGGTGAATTAAGCTCTTCTGTTCAGTAAAGTCTTGGAAAGCTTGGTGTTAAATTTGGCTCCGCTATGACTGTGGAGTCATTAGAGACAATAAAGTCCTGCTTTTTCCAACACAGAAACATCACTAAGCTTTAACAACTGAAACACTGTGTACCATCGGAGTTAAACTGCACTAAAAACAGACAGAATCAAAACATCACCGCCATGTTTCATTCCTTTAAAAGCAACCTTTTTTTAGTCAGGGGGACAGTATGAGAGTCACTCTTCAAGAGACAAACCCATGAAGTATTTAGGTCTGTGCCCGAGGTCCAGTAAGTTCAGTCAGCCACTGAAGAATTGATTAAAGGAGGTGAAAGAATTGTTAGGTGCAGCAATTCAAACCAAGTACAAACAAGAGAATATTCAGCATCAGCTACGGGAGTCAAAATCATCACTGTCTTTAGTCATGACACTCTAAATACAATCTGTCTCATGAAAAAAAATGGCTAAAGACAGAGGTTTTGAATATTTATCAGGATGTTAGGAAAACCAACAGAAACCTTTGATTTATGAGAATTTGGAGTTGCTCCGATAAATCAACCTGGATGAATCCCATCTTGACCAACCCTTATCAGTGATTTGACAGTCACGTCTTTTTCAAATCTTTTTTTTTCCATTCAGTGAACATACTATGCTAGCAGCTACCAGCATCTTTTCCTTAAACACTGTTCAAAGTGGATCCTCATACTAAGGGAAGAAAAAACACAATTAGCTATTTTCAGCATCACAGAGGTACTCAAAATGAAATGTTTAAATTACATATCTGCAGTTTATTTAGGCTGCAGAAAAAGAGAGTGAGACTGTTGGCAACAGGAAGGCTTGAATGTGTTTCAGCCAATTTCCTCAGTTTGATCCCCTTTGCAGTATCCAACTTTTATTACAAACTTTCTGGATTTGGAAATGTTTGAAGCATTTAGAAAATTTCGGAGCTGAAATAAACATTTAATTTGTCTAGAATTTACATCAGGAGACTCCTGTTATTTATTTCAAAGATATGAATGCCAACTGTGCAAATTCATGTTATGAGATGCAATTCTGACTTTTCGGTGTTATTCTTAGGTCTTCTTATCTTCTTATTTTATAAAGTTCATAAAATTGGCTTTATTTCCAGGTCAAATGATTCACTAAAACTGCAGATCAAAATTTGACCACTTCAGTCTTGTGTTGCATGATGGATGATGTGAACAGATCTCACCAGTTTCCAGGATTCGTCGATGTAGCAAACCCGGATGGAGAAAGGCCTCGTCTTTACACGACCGGATCTGCGTTCCCACCAGCTCAGAATTGGTTGCAAGTATTCTGGCGCTCTCCTCATTCAGATTCACCCCGGCCATGGAGGCCACATCATTGATGTCATCATCGTCTCTGCAAAAATTTGAGATTAAAACTAACTTTAGGCGTTTGTTATTTACAGATGTATACGTAAAAACATCAAATCAAAACCAAAAAGACACTGAAATAGGCTAAATACTAAGAGAATTACAGGATTTAAGCTGGTAATACAGCGCCCTCCTCTGATATGGACACCCCCAACAACGTATACAAAACCCTTAAAAATCATTCTGTTATGGGGCTTTGGTGACTCCAGCATGTCCTCCTTTGATGTTGTTCTTTAACAGTGAGGATTAGGGATTTTTTTTTGCCCCCCACCTCCAACCATGTGGTGGCAAAAAAAACAAGGGTCGTCATCCAGCGCCGTTTGTCACAGCTCCAGTGTTTGCGACCCTTAAATAATTACTTTGACTGCAAAATATGTACAGGTGAGTAGCTTATTCATGTGAAGATATATTCTGACCAAGGAAGCTCAACACGTCTTTCTTACTTGAATGGGATGTTCTCTTGCCTTTCCAATTTTGAAAATTGGATTTCAAATAACCAACATTTACATGCTCTGATCTGACCAACTTCAAACAAAAGGTATGAGTTACAAAAATGCTTCAGAAAAATGCAAAGTGCTCTGCAAAAGCATTTATACAATTTAGACTTTTTTGTCCCACTACTACCTCAGACTTCAGTGTATTTCATTTACTGGGATTTAAGACAAACAAAAAGTAGAGTGTAATTGGGGAATAAAAGTTATGAATGTTTTTTTGCTTTGTTTTGTTTTGTTTTACCAACAACGATTAGCACACTTTGGCATGCCTATTATATTCAGCCTATTTTACTATTATTCCCCTAAATAAAACCCCATGTTAGCAGACAGAGTCTCCCAATGTGTAATTAAATATCAGTATAAATCTAGCTGTGAAAGCCTCAGAGGTTTGTTAAAGGACCAAGAAACACACAAGGTAGGCCAGGGAGCTAGATAAGTTGGATAAATTCAGGTACTTCAGAAGCAAGTGACAAATATTAGTCATTTACTTTACAGACATGAAAGAGTGGCAAGAAACACACCATCAAACAAAGCTACAACAAGGTTGATATAAGCCATGAAGTGTTGTAAAGTTGGAATCAAAATTCATCTCCTTGAGAAACTTGTGGATGTTTAGAACTTGTGAAAACCAAAATAAGGTAGAGAATTCTCTATTTATGGGAGACAGCAGACGTTTTACCCAACCAAATACACACAGAGCAGTAAAGTAACTTCTCTCTCTGGTAAGAACGGCATAACAATGCCATATCTTCACATTACTAATAGTTGTTAGAGGCTGTATTGACGCGTGAAAAACCATATATTCAACATTAAAATCCTCTTTCCCCATCAGTATTCATGTCACAACATTATTAACATTTACTCCTTGAAAAAAATATCTCAGGGATCCGTTTTTTTCTCATGAATATTATTTGCCTGGGAGAAATTATGCATTAGTTTTTCTTTCCTTTTTTTTTAAACAAGGATATACTTTGGTCATAATGGCACAGGCTTCTCATTCCAGGGTCTATTAGTGTCAACACTTAGAAAGGCAGGGAGATGAAGAGTGTTCGGGAGGAGTTTGCAGGGTAAGGATGCTCCTGAGGATTGGCAATAAACAACAGTCAACACGCTCTATTTACACACTGCTCTGCAACACCTCCTTATGCATTTTCTTTATGCGCTGATCATTCCAGTTGTAATGTTTGCAATGTTTAGATGGTATTTCATTTTAGCAGAGACAGGAAAAAACAAACATACGGAATTCGTGCCGTGGTCGTTTTACTTGCAGGTTGGGACGTCAGAAACATTTCCTGTCTGTATATTTTCCTTGTGATTTGACACCATGAAAAATCCCCCTGCGATCACTAGACTTGGCAAGTAAGGATTGTGATTCTGGCCTGAATTAGCAGAGCAGTGACATGTTGTGTTTACAGGACTGGCCCAAAGCTAGCAGCAGATTTCCTGAGTGTCTTTGACAGAGAGAACAAAGACCTACAGAACACACACAGGGTGGCCTCCCGCCACTCACTGGCTCAACTCAGTGGTCGTTTACGTCTGTGCCGCTGCTGTAGGTTGGTGTGTGCGCTTGTGCTGCTGTGATGTTGTGTACGCAGGTTTACAGGGTCCAAGAGTGAATTCAGGCATCTTGGAGAGTGGGCACAAACCATCAGCCAGCTCCATCCTGCCGAGGCCCTACTGCTTCTCGGTACTGCCGCAGAGAGCCGATATGAAACCTGACACCACGGCGGGAGGTTGACAAAGACAATTAGAGTAGTTCCCAAAACACCACACACTTGTACCTTCTCTCTCTTCCCTCTCTTGTTTTTTTTTTTTCCAACATTCTAATTAAACCTAGAGAGATAATCTACACAACATGTATGGATCTGTGCCGGATAGAATACCTGAGGATGCTGGGGGCCACATTTTCCAAGGTCAAATGAGAGGCAGCCAGTTCAACAACTTCAGAAAAGATGAACATGGAAAGGACTACTGAATTAATGCCAAACAAAAGCTGGTAAAAGTCTGCTATACCCATGCAGCTCTGCACACATTGAAAATATCTAACAAATATAATCCTAAGGGTGTTTTCACACCTGATAGTCTGATAAACTCTGTTTGATTGGGAATAAAAATTGTAACATTTGTTGCATTTTTAGCAGGTGTGGTTTGCTTTCACACTGAACTGTGTCAAAAGACCAAACCCTTTGAAAAACATGTTCCCCCTCTCGCCTGTGGTGGTGCTACAACAGGAATGATTGAAATAAACAACTATTACTTGTGTACTCTATGAATCTGCCCTTTATGTAGGAGTTAAGGAACGACAAAATAACTTCTATTTTAAATTTTTGTTCAGTTTATCTGGGAGACCTCAACAAATCCTGCTGGATTTCAGATCATTTTCCTTTGGTTTCACAATTATACACAGCATGTTGGTACAACCACAGCTGCACCTGAAATCAAACAAAATGTGCTGCTTCATTTTGAACCTTCTCCAAAAAAAATAAAAAAAATAACGTAATGCTCATTTTAACAGTCTGGTTTCATGGCTACAAATGCTATCACTGTGGCTGAAATCAAATAAAAACGGCAATGACGGCTCTTACATTAAATGAAGGGAATTAAATATTAAATTCAAAATATTCCAGATTGTACCCTTGAACTAATAAAGAGGCGATTTAGTTAGCTTCCACAGAAGCTAAAGGACAACCTCTCAGTTATTGGTCAGGTTGGGCTTGGGGACATGGAGCTGGGGGTCACTTGAATACATATGCATGTTGTTTCCATATCAAGTCTGTGTCTCAACCAGGGCATGCCATAGGTGGGACGACCGAACCTGCCATTTAAAAGTGGTGCGTGTACATATGTGTGTGTGTGTGTGTGTGTGTGTGTGTGTGTGTGCGTGTGAGTATATGAGGGTCTGTTCAGATCTTCTGTGTCCCTCACGCCCGCTAACACCCCCTCCCTGTCCCTGTGGATAAAGGTCTCTGAGCCCTTGCAGGGGGCCCCTGATTGATCCCTGTGACTAACACCCAGGCCATGCATGCTGTTGCATCTATGCTGAGAGAGATGAGCCACTGGAGTGAGGTATTCTCCTTAAGGCACCTTCAGATTCCCTGGGCAGTTCACTGAAAATGTGCTCATGATCCGAATGGTTTCAATAGTAGCGACGGATAAAGAGAGGCCAAACAACTCAGCAACAAGCTAACAAGCACAATGTTTAGGAAGTTACTGGAATTAATTCAGAAAACCACCCACACTTGGTTTGCACAAAATACCTGGATAGGAAAGAGTTTGGTGTAAAAGAAAATCTCAGAGGTGAGATGAGTGTTCTAAACCATCCTACATGTACTTATTATATTTCAAATTCTAAGAGATCCTAAAAGAATTTTCCAAAAAAGCAAATATGGACATAGTTATTATTGTTGCTACCCATAATCCTGATCTAAACTATTCCTTGAAAGATAACAGACACATTTTATTTGTGAAGTTCCTTCTTCAAGTAACAAGGACAACAGATCGCAGCTTACAGGCCAACAAGAGACGAAACCACAAAAGGTCTTTTTAAAGATGGGGTATGCATTTGAATTAACCATGTCTGGGTAGGTTTGTAGGTGCAGACATTGTTTTATAAGATAACCAAGCTTAGCCCTTCAACTTACTATAATGATCCTCTGAGGCTTTCACAGATTTGGCCTCTGTTTACTAGATAGGGAGCTTCTGGATGCAATTGTTTGCAATGGACTGTTTGTAAAGTGGTATGAATGAAAATATATGAATGGATTCCATCACATAAAATCCCAGTAAAATCAGTGATTTTAAAAGCTTTACAAAGTTTAAGGGGCATGAATACTTTTGCAGGGCCATGTACCATGTTTATATTCTATTGGAAAACACACAGCTGGATGTACACCCTGTAGAACAAGGTTGGATTTGTGGGACTGAAACTGAGCTTGGCGTTTGGCAAAGGGCTAAGGGCCTCGGCTGGCTCGCCAGTGATTACAGCGGATGTTGAGTGTTTACAGAGGGAGAAGGGTGGAGGTGGTGTGGGGGGGGCACGGAGACAGCTGCTTTCACTCTGCACTGTAAACCACACACACACACGCACACATACGTACAAGCACTTACACAGAAGGCTGTAGCTACATTGGAAACCCCACAAGCCCTGCAGTGAGTATGTGTGTGTTTGTGCTACAGCTGGCCCGCTGGGACCAGCGGTTCAAAGTGACAGCCATACACACATCAGGGCCTGGCTGCAGCTGAACACGATTCAGGCTGGGTGGAAGAGAGGCTGGTGGGTGCAAACTGACCAAGCCAGCTGTCAATTTATTGTTCTTACAGCCAAGTTGTAGTTGTATATTTTCATCTATTTGTTGATTGTTATTGATAAGTCAAAAGATTTTTGTGAATGAACCCGTCTTTGTAGCTCAGGAATTTTAGGTCCAGTATCCTTGCGTTGATCCATTTTTGAGTTGTGTGAATGAAATTTTACTTGACCTGAGTATATGAAAAACTATGTTGTGATTGCAAACATTGACACTGCTAAAACTTTTAGTAACTCAAAGTGCAAATGAAATAATTTTTGAAATTTGTCAACTAGGGTTGCCACTCATGATTATATAAGTAAGAAACTGTCTTGATTCTCATGATTAATCTGCAAAAAAAAAAAATTGGCACATTCTGCAAATTTTTCTTTACCCTCTTCAACATGTTTTATACAATATTAGAAAGACATTAAAAAATGCAACTGTACTGCCTAAACTGCAATAACAACATTCTTATATGGCATGGTGTGTAGTTTTAAAGTGGACCCAAATGCAGACAGGCAGAGGCAGCTTGTAGCTGAAGAATGTTTAATGACAAAAAAAAATGACAAAAAAAACTTACAAAACACCACAGGGGACACAGGTAGCCAGAACAGAACAAAAACGAGGAATACAGGAACAAAACACGGCAGGGAAACAATGGGGAGATAAAGACATAAGACAGGAGGAACCAGCAAGGAGTGACTGAGAAAGAGGTACTGGGAGGTTGAATGCTGAACAAAAACCTGGGCTGATGAGCCAAGGGGTTGCAGGTTTGGGGAGAGAGCAGAAGGTAGGCTGAGGAGAAAGAGGAAGTGACACAAGGGGCGAGGATGAGCATTTAATCATTTGTAGCAAAGGATACATTTGCAGCTAAAATAATAGTTCTGACATCAATGTGTGAAAAGCTCATCCTTTTCTACTCGACTTATCAAAACAGTGTTGAGCTGTTTACTATATTTTGGATTGAACTGATTTATAGCTGAATAACAAAAGTTACCTAAAAGGAGATCTTTTTTTTTGTTTTATAGAATTTGAACTGGGTGAAGCTATATATATATATATGATTAATCAATTGTACTTACTTGCTTAGCTGATGATTATTTAAATAATCAATTCATCACAATTAATCTAATTTATTGTTACAGCCCTAGTTGGATATAATGTATTTTTTACAGTGTCTTGTGCAAGTATTCCTTGAAATTTTACTGAGATTTAATAGGTTTTATATATAGTTGTGCAATTGGAACAGTGAAGAAAAATGATACATGGTTCTCAAAGTGTTTCTTTACCAATAAAAAGTGTGCCATGCATTTGTATTTAGTTCTGTTGACCATTACCTTTCAATAAAATCCAGTAGAGTGTTTCCTCCATAATTCATAAAGTTATGGATTAGTATAAAGAAAAGAAAAAACATATCTACACGTAAAAAAAAAAGTATTTGCCCCCCAGGTTCCCACCACCACCATCATTGTTTGAGATGACTTGACCAACCTTGCATGAGGGGCTTAAGTCTAAGTTAGTCTAAGCTTTGAGGGTGAGCTGAGGGCACACTGCTGTATTAGATTTATAACACAGGACAAAAGAAGTGCATCACTGTGAAACAGACCGCAGTCCAATAATTGTTTCATCTCCAATAATTGTTTCATCTCAATTAGATTGCCCACATAATTGTTGGAACCCAATGTAATTGGAAAAAAATATTAATTGCACAGCCACAACACACACATTCACTAGAAAATGTCTGAAACAATGAAAACACTCTGATACAGCAGGTAATAGAGCACAACGAAGCCTGTGACAAAACAAAATGCAATCCAAGTTCAGCGAGTTTGTTTGATGAGAGCTATATCTGTATGTATTGAGAAACATATACTCAAAAATAAGACATGGGCAAAGTGGTGTGAAAACATATTTGACCTCCAACACATTTATTTTTTCTTTGCTTTTTATTATATTTTCAGCACCACATCAAACTAATGTTGATATCAGACGACAATAATATGAGAAAACGCAAAATCAGTCTTCAAATGAGCTTATTATGAGCAAAGCCATCCCAACCAAGCTGTCACAAGGTGAAAAAGTAATCACCTCCTCCAAGTTGTTTAATCAAGAATTAATTAATATTAATTAAGATCTCTTGGAAATCTTCTTGTCCCAATTTGAAGAAATTCAAGATGAGATTAGAAATAAAGTCATTGAGGTCCATCAATATCAGAGATGTAACAAAATCTCATCATACATGGTCTCACGATATTAAAACATCACAATATCTCCAGTTAAGTCCTGCTATATTGCAAGCACTAGACAGATGTGATTATCATGGATTTGCCAAATGAAATTGTGACAAATACTCTTAAATAATTTGTTGGGCAGCAATGAACTTCTATGCTAGAGTTCCAATGCAAAAATCACTGTTGACCTAAACGTACAAAAAGGCCCAAAGTGATCCCCAAGACTTTGGGAAAATATTCCATGCATTGACAAGACAAAAGTGTGACATTTTGGAAGGTGTGTGTATTCAGGAAAAAATGTCATGTCAACAGTTAAACATGGTGATGGTAATGGAGTGCACTTGGGGAAAATCTTAAAGCAGAATGTTCAATCAGTGTCTGGTGATTTACAGCTTAAGTACCTTTGGGTTTTGCAGCAGAGCACCAACAAGCCCACCACTGCATGGCTAGAAAAAATAAAAAGGTTTGGGATTGGCCAAGTCAAACCCCGGAGACAATACCGATTGACGTGCTCTGGCATGGCTTTAGACAGAGCATGCGGAAAACCCTCCGGTGTGGATGTATTAGAACAGGAGAAAGACAAAATTCCTCCATAGCAAAGCAAAAAACTCTTCTCACAATCACATGATGGCAGTCGCTGGCACCAAGGGTGGCAGAACTATTATTGGGTTTAGAGGGCAATTATTCTTCTCGCATCTGACCAAGTTGCTTTGGATAGATTTTGTTTTTCCCTCCATTAGAAAAATCCTCATTTTAAAACAGGTATTTTTGTCCAATATTGAAATCTGAGTGGCAAAAATTCAAAAACAAAAGAAATCTGCAAGTAGGGCTAAAAAATAAATTAATGACATTATATATCGCAACAGACATGTGATCAATATCAATAGACAAAACGTCTGATAAAATGTTCAATAATTTAACTGATCCAAAACCATACAGCATTCTGGGGGATGTAGGCACAGAAGAGACTAGCCTCTCAACCTCTCACAGCCAGCTAAGCAAGGTGAAAGGCATCAACTAACTCACTCACTCTTTGGTTACATAGCAACTCACTCGCTCGTTGGTTACCTAGCAACAACCTGTCCAGTAACTTGCACAGCAGCAGTTTAAGGTTTAGCCACTGTGTCTCATAACTGCTTAAAAATAAGCAGCAATGTGGAAAACTGTGGATAAAACAGGAAACGTCTTGCCACCAGTTTGGCAGTATTTCACATATTTAAAACAAAAAAACTAATCAATAATTATTGATATCGACTGATAGAAATAAAACGCTTATATCATTCAGCCATATCGTCCAGCCCTCTTTGCAAGGAGCCAAATACTGTGTAAAATGTGTTTATCAGCTGACCTTTATTAAAGGAAAATATGGTGTGTGATGTCAGGACGCGTTTCCTCTGGGACTGTGGTGCCGTGTGCGTTATTGGGTTCATGATGAAACCAGCTCGTTCGTGTGTGGTGGGCCACTGTGATCACCGCAGGGGGGAAAAGGTCGTCAGTAACAAGCGAGCCTGACAGCTTAATTACCAAGGCAGCTAAAGATTTATTGGTTTATCAATCAGAGCCGAGGGCAATGCCTTTCCCCTCAGGAGACGGAGGCCATTACCAGGAACCCGCTGGCCCATGTGACCCAGACTCTTCTTGCGCTGGCCCAGTCATGCTGAGGTCATCCTAAGCCGCCTGCCCCTACTCGCGTGCGTGAGTCCAAGCTTGAACTGCAAATATTCTTGAAGTCTTAAAAGTGCACGCCAGCAGGAGTACAAACAAGATGTAAGCAATGCAAACATGTACGTACAAACCAGCACAGAAATGCTGCACAAACAGAAGAAATACGCACATCATAGACCACAAAGGCCAGCATGTGGGCGAGGAACCTTTTATGTTTGGAGACAAAGGCCCACCAGAAGCAGAGACAAGACCAGAGAGCGAGAGAGAAAGAGAGCAAAGCTGCAGGCGTAATACCGCATGTCTGACTTAACCAAAAGGTATTTTCAGAACAGCATCCAGAATTTCCAACCATCTGGACACAATTATCTTTTTTCTAAATTAAGATTTAGCTCATTTGCAGTCCTGCCAATGACTTGTGACACTGACATAAAGAGGGCGAGTGTGAGGGTGATCTATTGGTTGGCAGTGTGTTGCTATGTGATGAGCACGAAGAGAGAAAGGACCACCGATCATCCAGCCGGCCAGGCAGGCAGGCAGGCAGGCAGCCAGGTGGCCAGGCAGGCAGCTCCAATAAACACTCATAGCCTTAGCTGAGAGAGTCGCCTGTAGTCATGGAGAAAGCTGCTTGATAAAATGCTGCCCCCATGTGGTGGCATCTGGGAATGACATGTGTTTCACACAGAGTCTGTACCTGAAAGAGCCTCCTCCGGGGTCGTTGAGCTTGTTTTTCTGATTCCCAGAGATCTGAACAGGCAGGCCCATGGGACTTTTGCCTGCTTGTATGATGGCTCCCTTCCCTATCGTTCCTGTTCAGGAGAGGGGACAAACAAAAACAGAGGAGAAAAAGCTAAATAAAAAAGAAAAGTAATATTATCACTGAAGTGTCCCCTTCTATTTGCATCAGATATCCTCCTGTCTAAGGACTATCTTTAGCTGTCTCCGTCTTCCTCACAGGGGGGGTAAAGGTAAGGTGGGGGGGCTTAGATGAACCAACCCAGGTTGGCGTCGCTCTGTCAATATCACTGCGCTTCAGCGGCTCTCCTTACACTCCTAAAACGCATCCTGCTCCGAGACACGTTTTTCCGGAGAGGCACAAGGACTGCCAGAGTGAATTTAAACTTGATTTTAACAGGCATGTTCCTAGCCAAGAGGCGCAGAGAAGTATTTTTAGATCTATCCCCGCATTCCAATTTACGGGCATAAAACAACCTACAGATCTTTCACTGCAGGCGATCTTCGGAAGAGGGGTAGATCAAATTTGTATGCACCTCCGATCGTACACAGACACACGCTCATGCGAAAACAGGTACACACACTCGCTCGCACACACGCACCACTTGAGAGCACGCGGCTCTCTTAGGGGAGCGTTCCACTCGGTTGGCGTTGGGGGCGATATTTGCGGGCTTCTGTGGGAAGAGTGTTTGTGAATCAGTGTGAGTAAGCAGCAGCACAAATGTTTGAGGAGGCTCTATAACCGAGCAGGAAAAAGCACCTGTTCTCTCTGCGGCTCCTGTCTGTTTACACATCTTCCGGCCTACCGAGGGAACATTTACAGTTTCACTAATGGCAGCCTTAAGTTCAATCTATTTTGCTGTATCTCTAACTAAAAAAATGTGTCGCCTCCCATCACAAAGTTTCTTTTGTTATTATTTTTCTGAGACACATGAATGCTTCAGTGATGTCCAATAAGGTTGGAGATGCCCTGAAAGCGTCTTACCTTGCGGTCTGATGGACTGCGTGATCACCATGGGCATCCGGACCGGACCACTGACAGTCCCTCCTGTCTTCACGCCCTAAGGAGAAAAACTTTATTAAAGCATTTTGAAAGACAGAGATAAAATTCAGAAAGAGGAAAAGCAGGAAAATTTACAAACGGCACAACTGTTTAACCACTCCTCCATTCTATAAATGATTATCTGTTTCAAGGGAAAATCAGCTTTTACCCTGTGCAAGAGAATAGGAATGAGAAACTGTCCGACAGCTGCTTGTGTTTTATCTACTTAGATTTATCTGCAGGAACTCTCTTCGAATTCAAACAAAATTGGTGTCAAACATTTGTGCATCACTTTTTTGTTGTTTGTGCTTCTATAATTTTAAAGATGTTTATTAATAAATGTTCAAAGGTCAACCACTCCCCCCACATGTACAAAATCAATCAAAATATGGTCACAATCAAATGTGCTGCATTTGAAGCACACGTTTTTTGTTTGTTATAAAGATTTTAAAAACCTATATAAATTAATTGTGCCATGTTTGTGCAGCCAAAACTTTGTAGCACAGTTAATTGACACCAAATTTGTTTGACTTTGTTCGTGTGGCAGGGCTAGTTGACCTTAGATGACCTCTGGAAACATTTATTCATACCTTTGAGACAAAATAAAAAAAAATTTTTTGCACAAACTAGCACATATGTTTGACATCAATTTTGCTTCATTTGAAGAAGTTGGATCATTTAGCCACATGTGGAGGTTCACATTACCAGTTAGTCTAATTCAAATTGAAATGAATTTAAAAAATCATCCACACTCCTGGTAATGGACTTTTTTTTCTGTTTTTCTTTTCTTTTTTTTCTTTCTTTTTTTTACAAATAAAGATCTAAAAAGTGTGGCATGCATTTATTTTCAGCCCCAGTACTGTGCAGTATTTGTTTTCCTCCACAAATAGGTTTTGCATCTTGGCCAAAATGTTCAATATTGGTTTCATCTGGTCAGATCTCCTCCTTCCACGTTTGTCTGTTTCCCCTACATGACTACAAACAAGACTTCTCATGACTTTCTTCTCATCATGCTTTCACATGCAAATGGTTTACATGGTGTACACCTTTTATCTCCTAAACCTGCCATAAAACTTCTTCACAACTTTATCTCTTACCTGTGTTCCTTTATGATCCTGTCTGTTCACAAATGTCCTCTAACAAAGCTCTGAGGACTTTACAGAGCAGCTGTTTACACAACTATTAAATGACACAAATGTGACTAGTGAACTGGAGTGTCACAGTAAAGGGAGAAGATGCCACAAATGTAATATTTTCATTTGTTTGAGAATGAGAGCTATTCATTGTTACATTAGACTTCAGGATTTTGGATGGCTTTGGGTTTGTCTGTCACATAATAATCCTATTAAACACATTTATGGCTGTTATGTGGCAAAATGTGAAAATGTTCATGCGTATCAATAATTTTGCAAGGTGCTCTGTGAGTGACCTATATTTGCTGGTATTTCCAGATAAAAAGGTAAAATGAAGTCAAGACCTCAGTGAAATAGTAGTTTAGACAAAGAGGGAGAAAAAGAAGATGGAGCAGATAGAGTGAGTGGGGGGGGGGGACGATGAAGGGTGCTTGATGCTGGGCTATTAGAGTCACTTCCTTCCTTGGTAGCAGCTACAGGCCGACCCTCTGGCTCAGCCATCCATTCCTACCATTTTGCTTCTTGCTGCATATTTTTTAGCCTTGTTTTCCATTCCCTGACACATGCTATATTACTGTTCAAGCTACTGCAAAAAAGACAGAGGCTATTTTTCCCAGAGATCCACTGCAGGGGTCTGCAGGAGTGGGAGGGAAGGGTAAAAATACATTCATAATAGGCAGAGATAGCTAGCACCTCTGGCTAGTTGGCGACACAGTTAAGACAGAATAAAAAAAATAATAAAAGCTGGTAAAGGTAAAGTTTGAAAATCACAGAGAGGGGTTAACAGCAATCTACAATACCAAGTTTGCATTTAAATTGTCTTTAGCCAAATGTTGAGCTTGGATTTGTGAATATAATGACAATTGTTTTTGTTAGTGCAATAATTTTAAATTAAAGTCCAATAAATTTAAGTTTCAGTTTGGATTTCAGAGGTGATCACCGCTACAAAGTTGGACAGTGCTTTTACACACAGTTATTCTAAAAGATATAGTGTCAACTATAACTGGGCAATAATTTAAAATATTCATCATCAAAATTCAAATCAAAATATCAAGCTCTGCATGAAAGGAATATTTGGTAAAGATTATGTTTTAACTGTATAATTTAAGAGCACAGACTTTATTTATTGTTTTCACATTTTTCCCTATAGACTTATAACACAAGCATGTTTGTTGAAAAACTCTCGAACATAAGCACATATATCATCCCAATTTCTAAGTACTGTTATGCACAGCTCAAAAGTTTATAAAATTCTATTTTTGTTCACAAAATTATGATTTGGTACCACAAATGGAATGCCACACGAAAGCATATCGGGTGTCTAACCCACAGGTCATGCTTAAGGCAGATGATAAGTGAAAATTGCTGTTTTCATTTTGCTCTGAGAGCAGAACCCAGACTAAACCAATTCTCCGATGCTGGGATGACAACTCACATGATCCCAAAGCACACAATCAATCCCCTTCTTATTAAATTATCAAATAAAAAGGATATTTGTCAAATAGAATAAAAATTAATATCTAAAAACATTTTATACATTTACTTGAAGACCCTTTATAAAGTATTCAAAACGCCCAGACTTTTATTCATTTTGGCACAACAAAAACAAAATTTTCTGTGTTTTTTTGTTAGGTTTTATATGTTTTGTTGGAATTTTTTCCTTGACTAGAGAGATATGGCGACATGTAAAATAAGCAGCGCTTCGCTTGCACAGACGGTGGGGACTTCGTCCAACTTTTAGCGTCACTTGGAAGGAAAGCTTAAAAAAGGTAAGATCTGTGGA